TCCATTGTGTTTAAAGGCTTTCCCCCCTGCTTATTACACCAATTTTCGAAGAGGTAGTGAATTTCAGCATGCATAGCAAAAATCAAAGTAAATTGGATGAAATAATGTATAGCAAAAAGAAAAACAAAAGACTTGTTGTGTCTTAAAGACTAACAGATTTATTTCAAAGCGAGCTTTCCTGGATTACAATCTGCTTTCTTAGGTGCATGGAGTTAGGCCACAGGCTTTTATACACAGATAAAGCCTTTAAAATAAGGCCAACCCTACCATAAAAAACAGTAAATTAACTTTACAGTTAAAAACAATACAATGGGTTAACATTACATGCCAGTTTAAGAATATGTATTTTTATACCCTTCCTAAAAGCAAGAAATGTAAAAACCAGTCACAGTTCTGAAGGAAGGGCATGCTAGTGTCCGGCAGGCAAACAGAAGAAAACCCTATAAGTACTGTACCTTGGCACCAAGCGTCCCCTTTCAGTTTCTTTCAACCGCCACGTTGGGAGCCTCATAATTCTGATTCTGTGAATAAAAGAGAAAGAGAGCTTATTCTTGATTCCTTCCTGTTATCGGTCTTTTTTCTTTTAAACTATTAGATCAAACTCATTATAATCAGAGATTTTTTTCCTTTCCCCTCACTGTATATTACCCACCTGTAATTGTAGTTCTTCCAGTGGACCTCTGTAATTTACATATCATCCGCCCCATCCTCCCCTCTGTCATGCCATTGTTTGCTTACTATTAAGCGGCGGTTGAAACAACTGAAAGGGGACGCTTGGCACCAAGGTACTTATATGGGTGGGGTGGGGAGGGGCATATTCTACTGTTTTTATTGCTACTGCAGAAGCTCTAGAATCTTCTGCTGAGGCTCCAGCGTTCAGGTGTGAGTCACCCAGGGTGTGAATCACAGAGGTCCACTCGAAGAACTACAATTACAGGTGGGCAACCTGTCGTTACAAAAGAAGAGCAGCAAAGCTCTGCATATCTGCATGTACTTATACTTCAAATTATTTTACGTCTTTTGTTTTCCCAGAGTCATCTTACCAATGATTTCCTCTTCCAAATTTTGATTTAAGTATGTTTTGTGGAGGAGTAACTGACTAGGGCTCTGGGGAACAGGTCTTGACTCTCCAGTTGGCCATGAAAACTCACTCAGGGTGTGGAACTGGTGAAACCACTCCTTCAGTATTTCATTTACCTTGAAAAACCCTATTAGGGTTGCTATAAGTTGGTTCTGACTTGGTGGCACAGAACAACAATGTATTTTGTGGGGTTAGAAAGAAGGTAGTCTCAATCATTAGAGAGTATTTATTGACCCTGTGAGAAGCATTAGTCTAATCTGGTGTGCCATCTGCTGATTTTCTAAGCTGTGTGGTCTGTTTTACCTACCGGCACAAGTGCTGGGAAGGCAGAGGAGGCTATGGGCCAGTCACAAAGGGTGTCATTCCTCCAGCAATAGCCTGACCCAGTACTATCCCACAGATCTGCAAATCTGTTTTGCCTGCCTTCTCCTTCTGAATTGCTCTTCATTAATTCTTCTTCAGTTACAACAACCGAATAGTAACAGCCCCCTTTTTTCAGTTATGCTCTTATTCGCCTAACCCTCCAGTTCCCTCCTCCTTCTGGCTCCAGGATAGGCTGGCTAGATGCACCACCTAGCGAGTCCCCTTGCTTCCCTGTTAACAAGCAGGTGGGTCAAGGTTTCTGTCACAGCTAAGTGACTGGTGTCAGTGCAGTGGTTCCTCATAAATTACAGAGGCAAATCGCTGCCAGTAAATGAGCCACCATTTGTATTTCGTCATTGTGCATCGGTCGTGTTCATAACAATGGATACCTTTTTGTAATACGAAAAGCCACCGAACGATGGGATTTATTATATAAATGGCTTGAGTCAGTAGAAAGAGCTTGATTAATGTAGAAATAAACTAAGATGTAACGGCAAGTAGGAATCGGGAAGGGCAATCAAACTGTAGAAAGGCGAAAAGTGGACTTGATATTGTAACGGGAACACTCAGGATTTGATGAGTCAAATCAATTAAAAACATGGATGTTCCCTCCAGTCAATTCCTGATGCTTTCCTTTCTTCCTCTGCCCCATCTTGTTGAAATGTGTTCTATTATGTAAAAACTGTTTTATGTATATACTTTTATGTATTTTTATGCTGTAAGCCACCTAGAGTGGTCTTAACCGACCAGATAGGTGGGATATTAAATAAATAAATAAATAAATAAATAAATAAATAAATAAATAAATAAATAAATAAAATAAGTACATTTTATGTTCTCCTCCACCATTTTCCCCCACATTATCCTTACCTTCTGTATTCTTTACCCTATCCCCAACTTAAAAAAATAAAACAAAAAAATAATGAATACAAATGGCAACTCATTACTTGGTGGCCATTTGCCAATGCAGTTTTTACATTATTGCACTCAAGTCAGCAGGGCTAACCCATAGGACCCAGGCCAGTAGCTTACTTAGTGCACCAAGGTCAAGCACTAAGTTTCGTAACTCGGCCGCTATATAACAACTATTCAACTGCTTGAGAACCACCTCTATACCTGTATCTATATTGAATCTTGGACTATGAAAAATGAGGATTTTGTGGGATGGGAAAGATCCTTCCTGTGATCTGCACCTTGGGCAATCAGGGTGTGACACATTTGTTGTGGCCTCCACATTTTATGTTATTCTGGAACTCTAAAAAGTGCCAGCTTTAAGAGTGAAACACTGAGGGCAATCTCCGTAAAAGAGAATTCACCATACACGTGAAGAAGTTAATGAAAGCTAGCAGTAATATCGGGTGAGTGAAATGATTGCTTGAAGCAAAGGAGGAGACAGTGGCACAACGAGGAAATAAGTGCACCTGGCTGCCTTGTGAAGAGGGTGTGCCAGGCTGGTCTTGTTGGCTGTGCACCAGCAACCTTTTTATGAATGCTTATTAAGCATCTGTTGGGCAAGACTTTTATCAACGGTGCATATTAAACGAGGAGAAACAATTATCGCTTTACCATCATGAACTAGAGTACTGGTTCTTTTAATTGCCCTTGGCAAGGGAAAAGACAGTGTCCTTTGGCTCCTTAAAGGCTAAAAAAATGCATATATATATCATGGCACAGACTTGTGTAAGTAGAAGCCTGCTTCATAGTTCGTATGAAACAGACACTGGGGGACTTGGACTGATGAGGAAGGAAGAACATATATTGAGAAAGAGTGGAATGTTGCCACTGATTAATTCAGAGGATTATTTGCACATACAGGTTCTGAAAAAAAAATTGAGACCTTTCAAATAATAGAACATACCTGTTTAGCTCGGAGTTGCTCTTCAAGCAAAGGCTGATCCCAGAACTGATGAGTCACAGTGACTCGGGAGTTTAAATTACAGAGTTCTGTGGGATAACTGGAGCCACAGAGTGGAACAGTTAATTTAAACTGTCACCCATTCTATTTCTGTGTTCCTAACACAATGCTAGTCAACCAACTGACAGCCTAAAAATGGAAGACAGTGAAGAACTAGAAAACTGTATAGTTGGCTAGACTTTCTTGTAAGGCACCCTACTCATTGTAGCTTGAAAGCAAGCTTTTTTCCCCCCGTATGAAATCACTGTTTCCTAAATAGCAAGTTTCTTCCGATTCTCCAGTTTTGTGAGGGAAGAAGGTGGTGGGCTGAAATGAGTCCTGTTGGTGTGCCCTCTTTGGAAGGCCCTCCACGGTGGCTGGCTTTCATGTCCTTTTGATGGCAGGCGAAGGCCATTGTGTTGAACCAGGAATTTTAAATGTCTGTTTTATTTGGCATTTTGTTCCTATTCATCTCTAATGAATAAAGATCCATACAGAACGAGCCTGATGCTCTCAGGATTCCTTGCTGCTTATTTTCCTGCTCCTTATCTGGATAAACTTAAAACAACTAGTTAGAGATGGGTTATTCATATTCATAAAAGAAGCAAATATCCCGGACTCAGGTAGCCAGGATTCCCAGTCCTGCCTCCACGAACCGACTTGGCTACTTATGAGTTGCCGTGCAGCACACAGGGTCAGCATCCTGCTCCTCATGCCAATCTCCAACGAAGCCCGGCTGGGACTTCTCCACTTTCCTGCTCTTCTGGCCACTCCGGCCATGAGCGGCGGGATGACAGGTCAATTCAGAGAGGCTGGACTGGGGATCCTGGCTACCTGGGTCTGGGATATTCATTTTCATTTACAAATACAAATATCCCATTTATATTAGTCGTTCCTTTTTTCCTTTCCTTTCTTTCTCTTTCTCTTTCTCTTTTCTTTTCGTCTACGTATTTATATGCAAGGCTTCTGTGCCCATACAGTTGACTCTTACCTAGATCTGTAAGTATCTTCTCTAGAAACATTTTAACAAACAAACAAACAAATAACATATCACATTTCTTGGAATAGAGCAAGCACCTTTCTCCAAAATCTGACAAGCCAAACTGCTTTGCTTAATGGCATTTGATAATCACTGCCTGTGATGCCTTTATACGTTTTCTGCTCATTAAAAAGTAGGGCAGTAAAGTAGGTCAATGAAAGGAATGACTAGGCAGGCGGGGTGGTGGCGGCTGGACACGTACGTGGAATCGCACTGTTTTACTACCAGGTCCTCTGGGAAACAGTCTTCAGTTGAGCAACATCCCTGTATGGATGTGGTGTGTGTGTAGTGTTTTTTACCTAAGGGCTCTGGTTTGCTGCATGAGACACTGAAATTGAGAGTATCGTCATAATAAATTATATAGACAAAAGAGCAATAATGAGGGGAAACCCATTTGTTATCCTGGCATCATCTAGAATGCTTGCCAATACTTGCCCTTTTATTTTCTCAATTGTGTGACACATACTGTGTAATTTCCACTGCTACAGTGAGGGAGGAAAGAAAACATATGTGTGCAGGCTTACCAAAAGGATATTTGTTGAAAGAGGGATACTTCATTTATATTTATACCTGGCCTTTAGGCCCCAAAATGGACGTCTCAGTATGCCTTTGTTGTTGTTTAGTCGTGCCCGACTCTTCATGACCCCATGGACCAGAGCACACCAGGCCCTCCTGTCTTCCACTGCCTCCCGGAGTTGGGTCAAATTCATCTTGGTAGCGTGGTCTGCAAGCCAACGAAGAGGTAAAACATTCTATGCTGCCTAGATATGGGGAAGACAAAAAAGACATCAAAGGGACTCCCTCTTGAAGCAGGAGTTAATTAGATGGATAGAGACACTGACTAATCAAAAAATAGATACTAATGAAACATTATTGTTAATTTCATTATTCACAGGGGAAATGAGAAACTAGAATATAAAGAATTAGTTGCAAATCTTATAGGCACTGCAAGATCTGAAATCGCTAAAAATTGGGAAAAAAAACCCAAGATCTCTCATTGCAAGCATTCACAAGTAAAATATGGCATACATTGCTGATGGAAAAAATGACTAATAAAGTTAGATTACATAGTGGAGAAATAAACCACAGTAAATTCACTGAAAATTGGAAGCCATTATTAAAACATACCGACAAAATAGACTTTGAGACATGTGGTTTGAAAAGAAATTTAGATTGTTGGTCGATACTGTTTAAAAAAGGAGACGGGGAATGGTATATATGTGATTTGGAGAATTGTGGGGAATAGTTTTGTATTTACTATTTGTAATATGGTTGATTGTCTTTTCATTCTTTAGAAATAAAATGAAAAGAAAAAATCACCAAAAAAATTTATCTTGGTAGCTTCAGTGACACTGTCCAACCATCTCGTTCTCTGTCATCCCGTTCTCCTAATGCCTTCACACGTTCCCAACATCAGCGTCTTTTCCAGGGAGTCTTCTCTTCTCATGAAATGGCCAAAGTACTGGAGCCTTAGCTTCAGGATTTGTCCTTCCAATGAGCACTCAGGGTTGATTTCCTTTAGAATGGATAAGTTTGTTCTTGCAGTCCAGGGGACTCTCAAGATCCTCCTCCAGCACCACAATTCAAAAGCATCAATTCTTCGGTGGTCAGCTTTCTTTATGATCCAGCTCTCACTTCCATACATCACTACAGGAAAAACCATAGCTTTGACTATTCAGACTTTTTTTGGCAAGGTGATGTCTCTGCTCTTTAAGATGCTGTCTAGGTTTCTCATCGCTTTCCAAGAAACAGGCGTCTTTTAATTTCGTGGGTGCTGTCTCCATCTACAGTGATCATGGAGCCCAGGAAAGTGAAATCTGTCACTGCCTTCATATCTTCCCCTTCTATTTGCCAGGAGGTGATGGGACCAGTGGCCATGATCTTAGTTTTTTTGATGTTGAGCTTCAGACCATTTTTGCGCTCTCCTCTTTCACCCTCATTACGAGGTTCCTTATTTCCTCCTCACTCTCTGCCATCAGAGTGGTATCATCTGCATATCGGAGGTTGTTGATATTTCTTCTGGCAGTCTTAATTCCGGCTTGGGATTCCTCCAGTCCGGCCTTTCACATGATGTATTCTGCATATAAGTTAAATAAGCAGGGAGACAATATACAGCCTTGCATGTCTGTGGAGGTTGGTTATTTGCTTTCAATAGAGTATGTGGACCGAGAACTCCCAGAACTACAAGCTGGATTCCGAAGGGGCAGAGGAACTAGAGACCAAATTGCTAACATGCACAGGATTACAGAGAAAGCTAGAGAGTATCAGAAAAACATCGACTTCTGCTTCATTGACTATGCAAAAGCTTTTGACTGTGTGGACCATCTGTGGAGGTTGGTTATTTGCTTTCAATAGAGTATGTGGACCGAGAACTCCCAGAACTACAAGCTGGATTCCGAAGGGGCAGAGGAACTAGAGACCAAATTGCTAACATGCACAGGATTACAGAGAAAGCTAGAGAGTATCAGAAAAACATCGACTTCTGCTTCATTGACTATGCAAAAGCTTTTGACTGTGTGGACCACAGCAAACTATGGCTAGTTCTTAAAGAAATGGGAGTGCTTGATCACCTTATCTATCTCCTGAGAAACCTGTATGTGGGACAGGAAACAACAGTTAGAACTGGATATGGAACAACTGATTGGTTGATAATTAGGAAAGGAGTATGACAAGGCCGTATTGACCCCCAGTTTATTTAACTTATATGCAGAATACATCATGTGAAAGGCAGGACTGGAGGAACCCCAAGCCAGAATTAAGATTGCTGGAAGAAACATCAACAGCCTCCAATATGCAGATGATACCAGTCTGATGGCAGATTTGCGCATCTGCCACATGGTCACAGACGTCCATGTTTATTAATCACTATCAGCTAGATGTTCGCCAGAAGTCTGATGCAGCTTTTAGAGATGCTATACTCACACCCTTCTGTGGGTAAGCCAGCTTGTTAGTCACCCAGATTGTGATTCACAGAGTCCACAAAGAAAAAGGACAGCTTATTTGCCTGTAATTGTAGTTCTTTGAGTGGCCCTCTATGATTCACACATTCCGACTCAGCCTCCCCACTGTCACACCCTTACTCCCAAGTGGTGGTTGACTTAACTGAAGGGAAAGCCTTGGCGCCAAGGTACATACATATCCTAGGAGTGAAGGGGCTTGTACTAATGTATCTTTTCTAACTGCATAAGCTCTAGAATATTTTGACAAGGCTCCGCGCATGCGCGGATCACCCAGAGTCTGAATCACAGAAGGCCACTCGAAGGACTACAAGTACAGGTAGGTAACCTGTCCTTCTTCTGACTCCACCTATCACTGATTGCTGTGCTTTCTTCTACTCCAAATGACTTGTGGTGATCAGCCACACCCACCTTAAACTTAATTAGTTATATGTCCATGTAATGATGCCTGTATGTTTAAGGTGTGGTGTCTGAATACTTAGGCTCAGGTGATAGGAGGTGGCATGTCTTGGCAGCCTGTGTCCAAACCTGTACAGAGCAGAAGCTCAAAGTCATACAGAGTGGGTTGTTTTTTCTCTTTCAACACAATGAATTTGCGGAACTTGATGTCACTTGCTGTCCAGTAGCAAGGGAACGGATCTGGGCCAAAGTCACCCAGGGGTCCCATGGCTTAGTGTGAACTTGAACATGGATCTCCTGGAACAGGTTTGTTCTGCCACTTCTGGCATTCTGTGAACAGTCTTGCCCTGACTTTGCACTCTCTAGATTCCCTGACTTAATGGAAGAGCACCAGCTTAACACAAATACCAGCTTAATTCTGGAGAAATGTTAATGCGGAAATACAAGCTAAAGCCAGGTCTCTTGTGGTATATTGAAAGCTGTTTTGTCAATGGAAGTTTACATATTACTTCTGAACACAAATGTGAATGGTTCTTGTAGAAATATATGGTTAGACATCACTGCATCTAACCCTGTTTTGAAAAGTGGTCTATGCTAAGAAGATATGACCACATCCTATAGCAGGGACTTCTGAAAATTGATTATATGTTTCAGGAAATACTTCCTTTTATCAGTCTTTAACTAATTTACAGTCAGTTTCACTGAACTATCCCTCGTTCTAGATCTTTTTACAACATGGAATAATTTCATTTTGTTCAAAGCTTTCATAATGCTGTAACTGTCTCACATGTCCCCAATCCATCATTCCTCAGTCTCTTTTTGTAATACTAATTTAAAAAGCCAACATTATGCCTTTCCTCCCTATAAGGATGGTGCTTTCTCTATGAGGAAAAAAGTAAATTACCCTTAAGTTACCTATTTTTGGTACCTCCTCCAGTTCTGAAACACTGTATCCTGTTTTGGAAGTCTAGGAAGGATATTGTGGAAAAAGACAAATGAAATGTTTGAAAAAGGATAAACAAAAGATTTGAAAAATGAGAGGGGACCATGGCTCAATATGCTGAATGCTATTCCCACAGTGCCTGCATTTTCAAATAGGGGCATTAAGGGGTAGACATTAATCCACAAAGTCAATCATGAAGTATGAAAAAAAAAATACTATTCCATGTATACCAAGGTTATAGAAGAGAAGTTAATATTTCAGAATTTGCAGGCTCCTTGTAGGTGACAGTTGCATTCTAGAAACTTCTGACCACACCACAAAGACCTAAATCTTGTTCCTACTCTCAGCTAGAGTTGACCCATTGCATCAGTTGAATGGTAATTCAATACATCAGTGAATCCAGTGGATGAAATAAATAATTGGGACTAACTGTTGGACTTAGCCCGAGGTCCTCTTACATTGCAAGTTGTACATTTAAGAGAAAAATCTAGATTAGTCGGGGTAGTAAATTCTCCTACTATATACATTTTCTTTAGAATATTTAAGTAACATTGCCATCATTGGTCCCTGACCTCTCTCACATTGAAAGTACAGAATCAAAAAAGTTAATCATAATTTACATTTTAATTTACCTATCATACAGAACCATTTATAACATCTTTTTGGAACCAAAAACAGCTAACAACATTTAGAAATTAATGTACATATTTGGACAAAGGAAAAGAAAGAGCAAGCACAAGCTATCAATCAACTGTCACAAAAAAAAAATGGAGCTTGGAAAGGTTAGGCTTTTGGCTGGCAACTTCCAGAATTCATAGCCAATGTCAAGGCTTACTGGTGAAGACGGTCTGGGAGTCATTTTCAACAACAACAACAACAACAAAAAGAGTAACTTTTATTAAAGCAATAAAAAGTGTACAGTTTTTAGGGTCCCCCCCCCCCAATATCACACAAGTGCAAGGATGTTCACACAGGAGCAATTTCCTGCCTCATTTTCCCTGCTGCAGTTCCCAGGGAGACTATCAGGAACAGCATGGCATGTTGGAAAAGAGGCCGTGGAGGCTGAGAGAAACCTTGGGCAAGAGGCATGGTGTTTAAAGGCCTTACGGGGCTGGAGTGCCTGGAAAACAGGTTTGGATGCAGCATCAAGTTTAAGAGCAGCCGCCTCCCAAGTGAGGATTGGTGTGATGTTTTCTGAACTCTGGATAGGACAGGGAGATGTAGAAGTCTCGGTCGTTTGTATGGACCGGAACTGATCCAGATGTGAGCGCTCCAGACGTGAGATAGCATTCAGGCCTCGGGAGTGCGAAATCCAGCCCTGTTTCAGTGTGCTGATGACGATGCTAGACGGAGAGTACACGGCTGGCTTCTGGATGTGTCAGTAAGAGATCCTTTTTGCAGCTCTGTTTAGCACTAAAGGATGTTCAGTGTGTAGTCATGTTGGCCACGTGACCATGGAAACTATCTTCGGACAAACGCTGGCTCTACGGCTTGGAGACGGGGATGAGCACTGCGCCCTAGAGTCGGAAACGACTGGACTAAATGTCAAGGGGAACCTTTACTTTAGCACTAAAATAGCAGCAGATCATCTTCTTCCTCTTGGCAAAGGTGGCAGGCTGCTGATGGAAATGGTAGATACCTTCTTTTAAAAGATGGCTGTAAATGTCGCTGCTGAGGAAAGCATAGCCCTTGGGAAATGACCTTGTTGAGGAGGGGTTTGTGAGAGATGCAGTGACAAGAATAAACTCTCCAGTCCCTCGATGAGAAAGTATCTTCTTCTCTTCCTTCCCTCCAGACGTTCAGGGAGATCCCCTTGCTCTGAGAGCCTCTGACCTGCAACAAGATTCCCAGGTGCCCAGCCCCTCATGTGGGTGAGTGGCAGGGAGCCTGCTGATCAGTTCAGGTCCTCAGGTAATTTGGCCGTGTGGCGCAGGAAGCTTGGCTGAATTGAGCTTTCAGCCCCACTCCTGCCTGCCCCCATCTCAGTTAATTTCTGTACAGTGTTTTTGCCAGATGTCAGATCACCCAACTACTCCTTGCGTAGCTCTCCTTGTTCTGTCATATACTCAAGAAAAGTGTATATGTTGCCATTTGTGACCCAACCTTAAGGCCTCGGAATCAGAAGATGAGGGTGGAAATGCTGACAGAATTCTTGGTAGGAACTATATGAGAAGGTTGGGGGTGGGGAGAAGCCCAGTACCATGCTCAGTTTCGATCCTGTGAAAGCTGCTGTACCATAAATAAGCGAAACCACGTGTTCTTAGTTTGTGGTATAGTATATTAAAAATACCAGTGTGCAAGAATCTTCCCCTTATTAAGTAACACAGACCTGTCTTGAAGCTGACCCAGTCATTCTGATGTTTTTGGCCTGCCTCTTTGAACATGCTACAGTGGTTTCATTTTAAAAGTTGAATCCTTATGGCTGGATTCTACACAGATGCTTTGGATTCCTGTGTTATGCAGAGGGGTGGACCTGATGACCTTGTAGGTCCCTTCCAACTCCGTTATTGTATGATTCTGTGACTTTCTCGTCTCTTAACAAATGATCACTTTGGCCCACACTAATTCCCCACCAACATGTATGACTGACAGGCCCTGTATGGGCTCTGAAATGTACATGGTTGCCTTCTCACAGAAAAGACAGAATTATCCTCAGAGAAAAGATGTGGAGTTTCACTGCCTTTATTCTTTTCTATTTGTATCTGCATCAAGGAGATAAACTAGAAGCCATTAATATTTTTATTTTAAAATTTCTTGTAGCTGCTTCCCCTCTGTGTGTATGTGTGCTTGCATGCGCATGCACACACACACACACACACATGCATACACACACACACATACATATACATATGTAGACAGGCACGTACAAACACATGCTTGCATATATATACACCAAAACTCAGCTTTTGGTACTTCTCATACTTATACGTATGTAGACAGGCACATACAAACACATGCTTGCATATATAGTACACCAAAACTCAGCTTTTGGTACTTCTCTGGAAGTTCTGTGTGACTCCAGCGAAGTCTGAGTAATTCCTTGGGCTACGTCACCCACGGTCCCATCAGGCTGCTCTATCATTGGCCCCACTCTTTCTCACAGCCCTGAATTACTTGCCGCTTCCCTCCAGCCTTGTTGGAGTTCTTCCCTGTCACTTCAGTCCTAGGGGGAGCAGCAGGAAAGGGAGGCAAAAGGAGGAGGAGGGGACTGGCTGAAAGGAAAGAGGCCAGCATGGAGTAGGGCCAAACACCATTCATGGGATAGGTTTCTCTTTTCTGTAGGCCGCAGATCTTTGCAAGAGGAAAGATGGCAGAATAAGGGGATACAGAATAAGGGTCCTATACATCGATTGGATAGGTTTTTCTGTAGGCTGCAGATCTTTGCAAGAGGAAAGATGGCAGAATAAGGGTATACAGAATAAGGGTCCTATACATCAAATGTATAGGACTAGTTCTTCCCCCAGAGGGAAGAAACCCCCTGGGCTCCCAGAAGGATCTGCTTGACGCTATATAGGTGCTCATCCCTTAGGGTGAGTCAGAATTAGAGAGGGGGGTATTTGTATATGAATACCCCCTCACAGGTGTAGATAACGAGGGTCCTGCCCCCTGGGCCTGGACCGTCCGCTCACCTCCTGCTGTTGCTGGGGGCTCCGCATTCCCTTCCTATCGATCCGGAGACGAGCCACTCCTGGCAGGAGGCGGGAGGACGAGCCTCGCTGCAAAGTCGAAGAGTGGCTCACAGACCGCAAGCTCTGGATCGATAGGAAGGGAGCGCAGAGCCTGCGGCAACAGCGAAAGTGAGTGGACGGTCCAGTCCCAGGAGGCTGGACCCTCGTTAGGTCCACCTGTGCAGGGGTATTCGTATATGAGTACCCCCATCTCTATTCAGAATCCCAAGTGAACAGTTCCAGTAGGCAGAGAAAGGAAAGCTGTGCTAGAACCAGTGTTTTTAGGGCTCTTATCATGTCAGTTTAATAGGTCAGGAGGTGAAATTCCCCTAGAATGAGTGGCGCCAGATACATTGTTGAAAATGACAAGACACTTCAGAAAGAGGTGCATGCTGCTGCTTTCTCTGTATGATCCAGTTTTGGAATTGACTTGCTAGCCATTTGCAGCAGTTGGGGGTGGGGATGGTAAATTTCCATCAGAAATACTGAATTTTAGGTAGCCCGTCTCTATGTGGCCCAGTAAGTATCCAGCTGTTCTTTCCTTAAGCACATTAATATTTGTGAAAGAGACACACGTTTATTAAAATGTGATAATTAATATGAACAAAACCCATTTCAGCATCTTTTAATAAGAGACTTCCCCAGCATGTGTGTGTGTGTTTCAGATGGCAGATTAGGGTTTCAGATTATGATTTGTGTGGTCACTGTATGTGTCCAGTTTGACCTAGACACTGAGAGAAGGGCACACTATGGCACTCTGGACTGCATGCACATGAAACATGCAGGAACATAATCTAGTGACTTTAGAAGCTTTCCCTTTCTATATCACAGTATTATAAGAAAAGACACAGAGAGAGAGAGAGAGAGAGAGAGACAGTTTGCTGTATAAATGCCTAGTGCACGCAGGGCCTGATCTGAACTCCTGTGTTTTGGCACAACATTTATTATTACAGAAATGAGAAAGTCTTAACAGTGAGGTCCCAAAGACATAGTGAGGCAATCATGTTCGATGTTGTATTTTTGATCTTCTGATCCCAATCTCTTTTCTTATGCAGCATTTTAGACATATTTCCTACCTTGGTGTCTCTGGCAAATGCAAGCCTCCCTCCCAGCAGACGGTTTGACGGCATGGATGTGTCTGAAATTCTCTTTGGACAGTCGAACAAAGGGCACAAGGTATAGAAAGAACTTTGTCAATGTCCTGCATCAATGTTAGTTTCGGATGCTTCTTGTATGGAAAAAGAATTGGCCTTCATAGCACTGCTTTCGTTTTCTTCATCAGTGGTACTAATGTGGTTGTTACTGTGTGTTACCTTACATCTCACGTCAAGTGTGCCTTAGTAAGTATCAATCTATATAAATACAGTCATTGAGCCTGGAGTTGAAAGATATCAAGTGGAGGTTGTAATTTACATCTAAGTGGTGGAGATATTAGCTACTCAATGCTTCCAAGTCTTGCATCAGAAAATACAGGCCAAATATATGGTTTTAATACAGAATGGAGAGGATGGTTAGATTTACCTACACTACCGTGAACAAGAATGATTATGCTAAGCATATGGAAGCAAAAAGTTGATGCAGGAAGAGAGTCCCGGAAGAGAGGAAATTACAAATGCTAAAAAGGGGGATAGGGCTTACTCTGTTAGGAAGTAATTTGAGGATCTGACAGAGAATGTTGGAATCTAGACACAGTGAAGCGAATATTGCATGAAAATATAATGGGCTTAGGCAACACAAGGCATAGAACAGAGACTGAAACAGTAAGGAAGAAAGAATATAGAATCACAGATCTTCATTTATCTGTTCTAGATAAAAAGTGTCTAAGGAGAGTCTTTCTCAAAAGTTCATGTTGATCTGGCAGTTCATCAATGAACCAGAACACCAGTTCACAAAGGAATAGTAGGAAGATAAAAGGGGATTATTTCAGACAGAAGGATGAGATGGAGTAATGAAAACATATAAGCCTCTCTTGAGATACACTTATTTTTGGCTAAAACAAAAACAAAACAATAATAAAACCCTCTAATTTGAGTTAAATTGAGCTGTGACTGGCCACATGGCTGAAGGTGAAATAATATGGACATAATTAAGTGGTAAATTCCATAGTTCTCTGTTGGGCAACTCTCTTTAAAACTATCCATTTCTGTGGGGGACATTTTACTTAAGAAATAAAAGGTTTTGAGAGCGTTCTTGACTAAAGATTCATATTTGTATACAAATTTGAGTATTCCCCCCACAGGTGGAAATAACGAGGGCCAGACTGTCCACTCACCATTTTGCCACGGATGCGAGCTCGGCAGAGCCTTCCTATCGCACCATTGTCTGCAATGGATTAGCCACTCCTGGCAGGAGGCAGGATGACAAGCCTCTCTGCCAGGTTGCAGAGTGGCCGGACCCTCGTTATTTCCACCTGTGGGGGGATATTAGTATTTGTATACAAATACCCCCATCTCTGTTCTTGACCTTTGAGTTGGTTGCTCAGCTGAACTGGCCGTCTACCTCTGAGATACGTGCACAGTGTTATGGGGTTCTCTTTCATGGCCCATGATGTCCATAACTGTTAAGAAGAAGTTACTTTTCGTAATGGCTATAAATGACTGCCAATGCGTTTTTGTGTTTAGTGCAAGTTAAAGGTCAGTAGGCCTAAGGAACGGTTTTATTGCTTAGTTTATTGAAACCTCTATTCAGCTAGCCTTTTGGGGGGAAAAAACCTGATGTTCTAGAGTCAATGTGCATGACTAATAATAAAATGGAGCAGCTGAGATTCTCCATAACAAGGTGTAGTCCTAAACATGAATGAGTATTCAAAACAGAATGGCTAAAGATGTTTTGTTGCCTAAGGTAGAAAATGAAAATGGCCCTTCCTATTGTGTCAAAAATATAACAGCAAATGTACCTTTGCATTTGATAGTTAAAGGCTTTCTGTTAATTAGGAGTCCACAGTTTTGGCTGGTTTGGCATAGCCTGAAGAGTAGGGGCATTTTTGATTGCAAGATTATACTGAGCTGTGGAGGCACTCCAGGACCATTGCAGCATTGAATTGGTGAGCCGCTGTATTTCAACCCAATTCTGTGCTGGGTAAACTGGGTAACCTTGTCATGCTATGCTTCAGCAAGGGTGAGACAGTGGTGCTGGATCTGGTGGGTTTTGGGGAGACAAGAAGACTTTTAAAATGCGCTCACCATCAGAAGGGAGGTGCATAAATTTTTGCACCCTGTCTTTGAAAGAACATTCTTCCCAGTTACCACCGTGACCTTGCCGAATGATGGTGTAAAACTTTTTGAAGAATCTGAACCTTGTGCTTAACTCTTTTTACATTGAATTCTTCACCATCATTGATACCTGTCGATATTTCAGGCATGTTCTCCTATGCAGTCCTTTTGACACGCATCTTGAAGACTACACATTTGTTATATATTAAAATTCTCTAGATGTTTGACTTGGCCCATGTCCCATCACCTGCATCATGGGCTGAGATTTCTATAGTTGGCTCACACCCCCTTTCAGCATTTCAGTCTTCCTGCCAGGTAGGAATATATGTATAGGTACACATCCACACTGCTTAACCTCTTTCTTTCACTGTCTGATGATTTTTGTGCAAGCGTATTATGCTGCTTTCCACAAATTCCTTCTGATGCAAGGCTCTCCCTCTCTTCTTTTCAGGCTGGCCCTGTGTGTGTTGTCACATGGAAGGAACTGTGTGTGCTGTTTCGTTTTATTTTCCTTAAAAGAAAGCCCCTGTTGTTTCCACATGTTGTCATAAAAGTTGAACTTCAGTAGTACAGCTTTTTGGTACACACAGTGATGTGGCATTTGAGATTTTGTTCTTTGTTTTCAAGGATTAGGGATTTACAACTTGAGCTTTTTCGTTATTCTGACAAAATACCTGCTGCCCTGATATGCCTGCCCTAAGGCATGGCGGATGCTTTAGCACACTTACCATCAGATGACCTAAGCTGAGACTAGTGTAGTGATCTGAGCATGATGGGGGGTGAGATCATACAACTTATGGGATACTCTTCCATTCCGATCAGTTTTGTTCCAAGTCACCTCCTCCCTCCAGAGTAGGGAGGTAAAGATGCCTGGTGTACTGCAGGATGAGCTGCTATCTTATCTGTTATATTTGTCAAGTCTCCTCGAAAGCTGCAGTGTATAAATATGCTGTACGTCTGTATTTCAATTCGTCTTCCCCTCTTATACTGCTTAGCAAATAATTTGGAAACTCCTAAGGTCCCCTGTTATATACCATATTTTTCCATGTACATTATAAGGTGACTTGATGTATAAGACACTTTTCCAATGTTTCCCTGGGGCTTATGAAGTGGCCGGGAAAGCAGCCATGAAAGGGCTGCAGGATCAAAGGATTTTAATCAAAGAACTTTGATCCTGCAGCACTTTGATTCCATTCCCCCCATTATTTTTGTGTATAAGATGACCCTCAATTTTAGTCCACAAATTTTAGATAAAAGTAACATCTTATACACCAAAAAATACGGTAATTTTATGGAATAACAAAAGAAGGAAGAGAAGGACTGGAAAACTTGATGCACTAATAAACTTCATTAATTCCTATGGGATCTACACACTAATAAACATTTCAGATGGAATGTGATTCACTATATTCTCAGGACACTATGAGAGTATCCTAGATTATGCAAATTGAGCATTGTGTCAGGAAATAAAATGGAGTATTCAGTAGGATCCACATATCTGTAGGATCAGTATCCAGTTTCACTTATCCATGGTTTGAAAATATTAAAAGAAAAAAACTAGAAATATGTATTTTCATGGTGTATTTTTCAGACGTGGCTACTAGATGGAGCCAAAGAACATTCTTGTTGTTGAATAATTGTAATACATGGTGAAAATACTTTTTTTCTCGATTTTTCCTTTTACCATGCTGTGTATAGCCTTCATTGTTATCCGCGGTTTTCAGCATCCATGAGGGGGACGATACTTGGAACCAATCCACTAAGCATACGGGGGTCCTGCTGTTCCTGAATGGAAAAGTAGACACAATCCCAGAGGCCCAGGTATACATTGTACTGTTGGATTAAGAGCCTCTTTTGAAATCATTGTAAAAACAGATCTTGATCTGGAATGGCTTCCTTATGGGTTTTATTAATGTGGAACAGAAGGTAGAAGAGAAACATTTATAAGACACCCTTACATTCTCACTAACATAAGCATTTTACCTGCCACAATCCTGAGACAAGCTGTTTTCCTGAACATGACATAAGCAATCCAAAGGAAACATTACAACTTATCCGGCTTTAGTGCTTGGAACTAGCCTCACATGGAGGAGGGATCACCAGAAGTTCAGGTTGTGTTACATCTCATGTGGCCTCTCAGAACTCATGTCACAAGCCAAGATAATTGCGTTATGCATATGCTTTGTGTGTTTCCAGATTTCAGCAAAACTGGCTCATCATTCCTGTGAGATCTGAGAAATAATTTTGGTCATTTTGTGTCTATCTGCTGGCTCTGCTCCTTCAGTTTATATACATAGTACTTTGTTCATGTAATCAAGCAGAAGACAACTTCTGACTCCCATAGTGGCCAAAAATAGCCTCCCTGTATTAATATGGCAGAGGGCTGCTCTCTCTGTCTAACTCTCTCTCTCTCTCTCAAATTCTAGTATACTTAAAGATGAGTGTTGTTTATACTGTATATAACATTTTCCTGTGAACTTTACAATTATCTTCCATACACAAGCAAATTAACGTGTGTTAATGCTTCAATTTTAATTCAGATTTTCAGTCCAGGTTTTCAGCTCTTCACTGTACAAGACTAGTGTTCATTGAGAGAGTTTTTAGTAATCTTGCATGCTTGTATAGGGAATTTCTTGTTATGTAAAGTGAAAATAGTGAACTTAGGAGAGTTCCAAATCCAGCCAATTCATTGTATTATTATGTATGGCTGCATTGGCATTCATCCTTAGGCATTTAATGGAGGATGTGGTGGAGCAATTTATTTATTTGTTTGTTTGTTTGTTTGGCTTTTACCCTGTCCATCTAGATTCAAATGAAGTA